TTCACATTGAAAGGGAGGGATATGATAACAAGGACAGTTATACTAATGCATGACCACAGGAGGGCAGCAAGCACGGGGACAGTTATACTCACAAATGACCACAGAGGGGCAAAAAGGGGCCCCAACCCTGGGGAGTAGCCACTGGCTGGCAGTACAGCCCCCAGGCCCCAGGCTGCCCCCAGGCCACCTTACTGCAGAGCCACAGGGAAAAGCCAGCAAGTGGCTTGGATGCCCTCTCCTCCCCATCCCAACCAGCCCCAGGGAGAAGCCAGAGGGTGGGCTGTGTTCCCTGGGCAGCCCCAGACCTGGGCAATAAAGACATTTAGACCAAATAATATTGATTGAATACTATGCACCCAAGGAAGTAAGTAAAACTGATGCAAAATCTCCAACCAGTACAGTACATGGCAGAAACTAGTGTATCCTCTAGAGGAGATCTGTATGTAAATAGTAAATGAAGGTGCTAATTACATTTTCTGGGTTATCACATATAAATATAACAAATTATCTGTAGTGGACATATCCAGCAAATACATATACTTAACAAATCTGAAATTTAAATAGCTTAAAATGCTACCTTTGCTAGCATTTGGGATTCTGCATGTGGAATTCAGTTCTAAAAGTGCCACAAACAATTTCACAAAGCTTCTCTCTGGGACCATATGTCCCATTCTGGCTGGGACAATCTCTTTTTTAGACCCTGTCCCAGGCATCCTGACTTTTTTTGATGAAAGTTGGCATTGGTCCTGTATGCCAACTGATCATCACCAGTCCCAGAAGAGATATGGGGGGCTCAGCCCAGCCCCAGACATCAGTCAAAAGGGGACCTGAGGCTGGCCCCACATGGGCAGGAGACAGAGAGAGCTTTGGGCTGGGCAAGGGGAGCAGTTTGGACTGGCCCAGGGATATCCTGTTTCCTCTTTGGGAAAATATGGTCACCCTACTTTTCATGAAGAAAAAACCAGACCATCAAGCATGAGTTAGTGCAACTCTTTTAGGTATTGAAGACATGTCAGCATTACCTTGTGGTATCAAAGGCAAAAGATGCTCTGGGAATCAATGGTAAAACTGCACTGATCTCAATAATAGCAGAGTTAGGCTAATACTGAGAACTTTTGAAAATCCCATTTTTAATCTTCTGCCCATTAAACTCAACCAGAACATTTCCTGCCCAATATCCAGACCTAAAATAGGATTGTCTAGAGTTGAGGAGATCTGAGTGAGGATTGCAGAAACTACCACAATGCTATAATCACATCTTTCTAAATGAACTTTCACCATCCTTCCCCAAAAAGGAAAATTAGATGTAGTTCAATATTAGCAAGATTTCTGAGAGCATCCTTAGTTAAAGCTTCCTTAAGAATAATTGACATGCTGCTCTTGTAAGAAAGCATTAGTATCCTACCTTTTTAGTAGGTAGGTGTCTAAAACTCTGACATCATGAATACTTAAGACAGGCAGCAGTTGTATTAGTCCTTTTTCAACTAAAATAATTTTACTTTTATTAGTGTTGATTTCCAAGAAGTATAATTAACAGAATCCACACAATAACTTATATTTAAACCATATTGCTTTTTTCTCCAAAAAACAGTACAGTACATATAGTACTGTACAGTATACATTATATATAGTACTGTAACTGTATGTCTGTAATAGTGTAGGCATAAGCACAAATATTGCACCTATCGCAGAATCTTTGTAAAGGATGATTTGCGGAAAATGGAAAGTTGCAAGAAAGCTTTCAGGGGTGTGTACAGAATTGCAAATGTTAAACATTATTTACTCAAGTGAGTTCCTACAAATTTGCCCCAATTCCCTTCGTGTATTTCATAGCAGATGTTTAAAAGGTTCATGAATTCTTGATAGGTAAGGTTTCTTTTATGGAAAAATCATTCAGATATATTGAAAGAAGAATATAAACATAAAGTCTGCCCCACCTGTGGTTACTGATGTTTCATTGCACTTTGGGCTAGAGAGGGTGTAATAGCTATAGTTTTGGTCAAATTTCAGTTTGGGTAATTTTATTCTGCCTCCATAAATGCCACCGGTAGTTTAATTGGATAACATTCTTATTCACGGCTACTTACCCCAACCTGTTTTTGTAACCTTGCTGTGGGGTATTACATAGTTGCCATATTACATTTTAGAGGTCACTGAGTATCAGTAGTGGGTGAAGTGATCCCTGGGTGAAGTGATCCCTGACTAGTATATATGATGTATAAACTGTGAGACACATTGGAATCTGTTGTGCATGAAAGGCACTGTAGGAGTGTGAAATTCTGATTTGCTGTTTCAGTGCATTTTTCCTTCTGAACAGACTGGCTAATTACCAAAGTGATTTGTTTTCAGAGGAGAATTTGCTCTTTCAAAGCCTGTTATCTGCTTCTGTTATTTACTTTTAAAATACTATTTAGTGCTCATTTAAGATGAAAAGGCTTTGGAGATTGAAGTATTTTATTTATCCACTGAGTATCTTCGGCATCTATAGCAATACAGCTGGCTTCTAAGTTCTGCCAGCTGGGTTTGGGGTAGAGTGTAAAATCCTGATTAATGAGTTAACCGGTCATTAGGTTAACCGGTCTGGGGCTAAGTGGGATCAAGCACCATAACTGGCAACAGGACGCATTCAGTCCCAATGGCAGGATATGCTAAGTGGCTTCTGCCACTGCTGGTGGCAGCAGGCTCCTGGTCCCAGGGCTGCTTCTGCCACTGACAGCAGGAGGCTCCCAGCCCTGGGGTTGGGGCTGCCATGAGTGAGTGGCTACTCCCAGGCACTGGTTAACTGGTACCTGGTAAGCATCACCTGGAAAGGGTAACGCTTACCAGGAACCAGTTACCTGTTCACATCCCTAGTTTGGGGTCAACCTATAAACTCACAAACACTAATCCCTCCCTCTACTTTGGAGGAAATATAAGGCAGGGGAGGGAAAGGAGTGTTGCTTCTGAATATGCAACTATGCAGAAAGTAAGCTTGTCAGGCCTATTGACTTTGCTTTGCAATCTACTGAGCAACCATCTCTCTATCATTCCTTTTAATTTTCATAAAGTGGAGCACTAATGAGGGAGAACTCAATAGTAATCTCTAAGCCATCCAGCCATCTCCTCCTATTTGACCCCTCAGTAAACATAAAGGGCCAAATTCTGTCCTGTGTTACATCGGTACAGCCAACTGGCCACAGCAGAGAACTGACTCCAGGTCACCACTGCTATTCAGAACTGCCGGCAATAGTGACAATGACGAGGCACTTTAGTTTACTCTGTGATTCATTTAGACAAAAGATCTTTTCTGTACTGTGAGTTAGACAAAGTATACTTAATCCAAGTGACATCACTTCCTTTATTCCTCAGTGTCAGAAGAATCACAGCCTCTGTATTAATATTTAAGTGTTCGGAATTCAAACTTCAGAAAATTCAAATGTTTGTCATCCGTTAATGCTGCGTTTCTCAAACTGTGGGTCACAGGCAACTTGAGGGGGGGCACGGTATCACAACGTTTGAGAATCCCTGCGTTAATGTAAATCATGTTGGGTGTCACTTTGCAAGGAATTAGGAGCACAGGGACTGATCATCAGGTAGTGTAACTCAGCATCACTCCATTGACTTTAGTAGTCTCTGAATGATTTACATGGGCAGAGAATCTGGCCACAGTATTAACTAATTAACTTTAATTTAGAATCAGTGATTTTAAGAATGTTATTTGTTAGCATGTGGTGTTTATATGGTGAATGAAGACTGTCCATGTAATAGGATGTACATATCTGTAGATCTACTTTACAAGTTATAGGGAACTTGGGAGATAACCTTTTCTGTGTTATAATAAGGTCATCTCCAACACAGCCAGATGCCAAAGTTTCAAGGGAGCTCTGTATGCATGTAATGTTTTTAATTTTATTATGGCAGTTTTCTATCAAGGGTAAATCCTTAAATTTGAGATGTCCCAAACAAACAAAAAAGACCCTGCTATCCCAATTAGTGCAGGATCTGGTCCCCAAAGAAAGAACAATATTGAACTAATCCCAGATATTAGCCTAGAGTATGTCTGCGCTGCAATTTGAGGTGTGATTGCAGCATAGGTAGATGTACCCATTCTAGCATATCTAAAAACATGTAAATTAGACAACCTGACATAGTCAATGAAGCGGAGATTTAAATATCCCCCGCTTCATTAAAATAAAAATGGCCGCCACGTTTCACGAGGCATAAGGGAGCGGTCGACAAAGGTATTCCCTGTCGACCAATCTGCATCTTGACTTGCACGCTGTGCCGACGATCAGCTGAACCGGCACAGTGCGGCGGCCATTTTTATTTTAATGAAGCGGGGATATTTAAATTTCCGCTTCATTGACTATGTCAGGTTGTCTAATTTACATGTTTTTAGATATATTGAATCTTCTGGTGGAACTATTATTGAATTTCTGCTGGAACTATTATTCACTACAAGTTCTATAACTTCTTGGTGCAGTGAATTCTCAGGGAACATGCATAGAGCCCAAGAGCTGGGAATGCATAAATGATGTATTAGGAATCACACAGAATTTATTTTAATTATCTCAGTTCACTCTCAGTGTTAATTAAGTATCCATAGTCATGAAGGTGTTACGGCTCATTCCTTTTCTGTGTCCTGCTTTCATTCACAAAGGCATGCAGTTTAACATGTTTGTAACATGAGAGGAATTCATTTGGGATGGCCTTTTACTTTGATGTACAAAATTCCTGGTATCATAACTTTAAATGGATAAATACTCTAGGCAACTCTTGCATCTTCCTAGTTTTCAACTGTGTCTCAGTTTTATTTTCCCCTTTCCTGTCTCCCATAAGCTCAGATTTATAAAATGAATTGAAGTAGCAGATGGTTTGAAATTTAATTAAAATAAAATTGCAGCTGTAGCTCAGTCCATGACGAACAATCTGGGCCTTTCACTTCATCAACAGTGTGCATGTCCAGTACGATTATCTGCTTACAGTTGCAGTAGTGTAACTTTATTTTATTATTCCCACAGATGAGCACCATGCCAGGACTTCCTACAAGGCCTTGCTTCTATGACATTGACCTTGACCCGGTTACAGAGCAAGTAAAAGGCTTGTTTTGAGAGATGTGCCAAGTTCAGGTGGGTCACGTGTAAGCGTGTATAATGGACTGTTTTCTTTCTCACTTTACAAAATTACTACTTATTTTCAGGAGTAAGAAATTGGTAGGGGTTTTGTCATTGATACATTAAGGAATCAGTATAGAGCAGTGGTTCTCAAAGTGTGGTCCATGGACCACTAGTAATGCACGACTATCTTGCAATTGGTCTGGGGTCTTGCTCTCCTCCCACACATCAGGGAGCCTGTGCTGGCACTCCAGCCCTGCACCCACCAACAAAGTTTGAGTGCCAGTGCCGGCTTCCCGCTGTGGGGGAGAAATGTGGCACGAGCTTTGCGGATTGGATCTGGCTTGTGGGAGCCGCGGAGAAGAGGCTCCACATACTTCAGATCACCACCAGTGGAACAGTGAGAGGCACGGAGCCTGGTAAGCATCCTCCATTTCCCTCCCTTCCAGACCCCATGCCCTCATCCCTTCCCCCCAGACTATCCTTCATCCCACTTCTGCGCCCAAGTTGCCACCCAGACTTCACACCCTCACCCACTTGTTCACCTATTTTGTCATCATAGGTGGTTGGCTAGTGGCCCGCAGACAAATCTGCCTTGAACTGCGTGGGCTGTGGTCCAAAAAGTTTGAGAACCACTGGTATAGAGGATCTAATAGTTTAAGAAATTTGCCTCATCATAAACCCATTATTACTTTGTGTTCTGTCCCTTTACACAGAGATTACAACTGATCTCTGTCTTCTCTGTCATACAACAATATATTTGAGAAGGAGATTGGAGTGATCTCTTTTATTTGACCAACTTCTGTTGGTGAAATAGGGAACAAGCTTTCAGGCTCCGCAGAGCTCTTCCTGAGGTGTAAGAAAGGTAATTAGCATGTCAGGGCTTCCTGAGTACTTTTAACAGACCCAAAGAAGAGCTTGTCTCACTCACCAACAGATATTGGTCCCATAAAAATGATTGCGTCTCCCATCTTGTCTGTCTATCACTGGAACCAGCAGGGTATCACCATCACTGCAAACAGTATATTTATTGTATGTATTTCAAGATGTTTTTCCCCCTCCATGTGTTTTTTCTGCAGACTTTTCAAGTCTAAATTTCTTCCTCTTTCCTCTGAAGGTGCATTTTCAAAGCCCCTCATCTTTTCTATTCTAAAATTGCTCTAGCTTGTCTTTCTTTTTAAAAACAAAGTGATCACTGAAACTGAATTCAGTACTCCAGTTGAGGCTTAGAGCATGCCAAGTCATGTTGAATATTTACCTCTCTTTAGACATAATAACCCTGAATAAAAATCAACAAATATGACATTTGACCTTTTTTTTGTTAGTTACTCATTCAGTGTATCATTCCTGGCAACTCTTAGATTCTTCTCAGAGATGCTACTTTCTAGCTACTCTGTCCTGTATTTAGGATAAATTGATTTGCTACTTTTTTGGATGCCCCAAGTACCCAGAGGGAAAAAAATTAACAGTTAATTTGCCTGTGAATTTTCCAGTATTCTTTTCTATTACAGCAATAAATGGTTAGATTGAAAGTTAAATGATGGTATATAAGGTAATTGTCTGAACCGAAATGCTATTGGCTATATTACTGCTGTGTAGCTCCGTGCATAGCATTTCTTGGTACTTACCCTGTTATTTTGGGAGGAATTATTAACACTATAAACTGGATGTCTATTTGCTCATAAAGTGGCATGTTATCCTCTTTGAACAATGTAAAATGACAGCAGAAGCCTATGCTAAGACCTATAAACAGATGAATGTGTGCTTTCTTAGGTGAAATTGTTCAACAAATATGTTTGCTACATAGTCTTATCAAAGTTCATCATACCCAAAGGGTATAAAAAAGCTTTCCTTTTGCTAAATATATCTTTAAGAACAATAATCAGAAAACAAGAGATTCTACTTCTAGCTATGAAAGAACTTTGCTTTGGAGTAATGTACAAAGGCAAAATATTAAACTTGGATTTTTAATCAGATTGGGTATCGTTTGGAGTTGAAAAGGAAATACCAGTATATTAAACTTTAATCTGTTTTTTGTGAATCATGTGCATCCCAGCATACATAGGCTGTGTATGCTAATATCTACCACATGAGGAGAGAACCCTATCAGTGTGAGTTCTGAGGACATTTTGACCATAATATGTTGAAAAATGAGTCTAGATGTTCCAGCTTCAGTACCTATAGTTAGGCCCCTAATAAGTGTTCTGATTTTCCACAGTGCATTGGATACACAGGTATCATTAATGCCAAAGTGGCAGGTGCGCAGCACCTCTGGAAAAAACTGTTACCCTGTAGGGGTTTTTTGCATCTTCTCTTCACTCATAAAATGCTGAGATCTGAATAAGAAGTTCATTTAGCTTTTTAGGGACCTGAAGGGGAAAAAAATGGTAGAACTAAAGATAGAGAAATAAAATATATGGCAGAATTAAAAAAAAAAAACCCTCAATTTTGATATCTCGTTTTTCCCACCATAAAGTATATGTGCTAGCATAAACATTAATTTTACAATAATATTGTATTTTGCCAGCTAAGATGTGGCTATTGTAAAATATTCAGAGATTAGTCCAAGAACTACAGATGTTTCATTATGAACACACATGCCTAGCTTAGAACAGTTGTGCTAATGTGCATTCTATATCCCATTCTGCACAGTGCTTAACCTCAGGAGGCTTTATAAATATATTAAAACAGGCGATGTTTGTGTCACTAGAATCATTCTGTTGCTATCACTGAGCTCAGCTTTGGACTCCATCGATCTGCCCTTACTTGTCTGTACCGTTAATAAATCTGATGAAAGTTTTCACAAGATTCTGCAGAATAGTACAAACCACGATGTGTACGGGGGGTGTAACTTGGAGTTTGAATTTTTAGAATATAATCTAATAAAAAAATTAATTGAAAAGCAATCAAGGTTGAAAATGTTTTTCAGACAAATGCAGCCAACACACTAAGGAAAACTTTACACTTACTTGGTAAAAAATACTGTGCACCATTTAAAAACATTCAAGCCTTTAAATATTTGGCAACAAGATTTCAAGGGAATGAGCTAATTCTCGACATCCTTATAATTCTTCATCACTCGTTATTGCCCCACCCAAACGCCTCTACTTAATGAGATACTTAAGAGGGAAAGGCTGACCCGGCCTCCCTGAACAGAGATGTCTATCCTGAGTATAGAGTTTCTTAGGGAGATGAATCAGTGGTAGATAGAGGCAGTTTTGCTGGCTGGAGGAACTAAAAAACAAGCAAGCCATTAAGTTATTTGTGCTCTGGATCTGGAAGGATCCTGGAAACACACCCCATCTTGGGAAAGAGAAGGCTAGAGGGATCCCATGCTATGTGTGGCAAGAAGCCATTTTCTGTGTGTGTGTGTGTACGTGCGTGCATGCGTGCGCACACACATGTGCAGTTGCAAACTAAACTGACATAGTAAAAAAGTAGGGATGCCATGTGGCCTTTCTATCTTCTGAGCTTCTGCATGTACTTGTCATGTTTGTGTATTTCAATTGCCTGCCTAACTCCTTTAGCATGCAGAGTACAGTCATCTGCTGCCTGTGTTAGTACATTGTATGCATATTGTTAGTACACTGTATTTACAGCTTGGGTAGCAAAATGTTTCCTGACACACTTTCTCACTTCCATTACCTATTACCTTCTATACATTTTACTCCTTGGAAAATCAGTCCTATCCTATTCAGATGTTTAATTGCTTTGGATGAAATCCTGCATAGACCTACAAATGACTTCATAGGGGCCACGGCTTCATCCTCTAGTTCAGGGCTTTCAAACTGTAGGTCGTGGCTTGTAACTAAGAGAAAGCCGCTAGATGGCCATGAGACGCTTTGTGTACATGCAGGTATGGGCGACTGCAGCTACCCTTGGCTGCAGGTCACTGTTCCCAGACAATGGGAGCTGCAGGAAGTAGTAAGGACCAAGATGCAGCTTCCCGCAGCTCCCACTGGCTGGGAACAGTGATCCGCGGCCATTGGGAGCTGCAATTACCAGAACCTTTGGAGGTGCAGGTAAACAAAGCATCTCATGGCCAGCTAGTGGCTTGTCCTTACAAGGCACAGTGTGAAAACCCCTGCTCTACTATAAGCCCTTTTTAATAACCTTTCCACGTAATGATGAACATGATTATGCCCTTTCAAAATCCTTCCTAAGTTTTCAATAGAATCCCTATAATATGACTCCACACATAATTTTTTAAATTTCTAAAAAGCCTGTCTATCCTTTCACCATGGGTTCACATGTATTTAAATACAAAAACAAGTGACACGCAGCAAGTCTTCTTTATCTCCATATGCACTACCTAACACAATGGGATCCCATTATAAGTTATAAGCTGGGTTTGTGAAGAACAAGTCATGCCAAACTAATCTGATAGCTTTCTTTGACAGGATAATGAGCCTTGTGGATAAGGGAAAAGCGGTTGATGTCATATACCTAGACTTTAGTAAGGCATTTGATACGGTCTCATATGATATTCTTATTGATAAACTAGGCAAATATAACTTAGATAGGGCCACGATAAGGTGGGTGCATAATTGGCTGGATAACCGTAGTCAGAGAGTTGTTGTTAACGGTTCTAAATCCTGCTGGAAAGGGATAAAAAGTGGAGTTCCGCAAGGGTCTGTTTTGGGACCCGTACTGTTCAATATCTTCATCAATGATGTAGATATTGGGATAGAGAGGACGCTTATTAAGTTTGCAGATGATACCAAACTGGGTGGGGTTGCAACTTCTTTGGAGGATAGGGACATAATTCAAAATGACCTTAGCAAGTTAGAGAAATGGTCAGAGGTAAACAGGATGAGGTTTAATAAAGAGAAATGCAAAGTGCTCCACTTAGGAAGGAACAATCAGTTTCATACATACAAGATGGGAAGCGACTGTCTAGGAAGGAGCATGGCGGAAAGGGATCTAGGGGTCATACTGGACCACAAGTTGAATATGAGTCAACAGTGTGATGCTGTTGCAAAAAAAGCAAATATGATTCTAGGTTGTATCAACAGGTGTGTTGTAAGCAAAACTCGTGAAGTCATTCTGCCACTCTACTCTGCACTAGTTAGGCCTCAGCGGGAGTACTGTGTCCAGTTCTGGACGCCACATTTCAAGAAAGATGTGAAGAAATTGGAAAGGTACAGAGAAGAGCGACAAGAATGATTAAAGGTTTAGAGAACATGACCTATGAAGCCAGGCTTCATGAACTGGGCTTGTTTAGTTTGGAAAAAAGAAGATTAAGGGGGGACATGATAGCGGTTTTCAAATATCTAAAAGGGTGTCACAAGGAGGAAGGAGAAAATTTGTTCCTCTTGGTTACTGAGGACAGGACAAGGAGTAATGGGCTTAAAGTGCAGCAGGGGAGGTTTAGATTGGACATTAGGAAAAAATTCCTAACTGTCAGGGTGGTCAAATATTGGAATAAATTGCCAAGGGAGGTGGTGGAATCTCCCTTTCTGGAGATATTTAAGAACAGGTTAGATAGACATCTGTCAGGGATGGTGTAGACGGAGCTTGGTCCTGCCTTGAGGGCAGAGGGCTGGACTCGATGACCTCTCGAGGTCCCTTCCAGTCCTATTATTCTATGATTCTATATTAGATGCCTCCTCATCAAAAATAACACAATACTTTACTTGTGATTCCACCAGTCCCTTTGCTACATTGCCCTCACTGTGTCATCTGAATTGTGCTTTACTCTCTTGTTGATGCACTGTAGATTTCTGTTTGCTTTCCTAATTGTTAGATACTGGGTTTGGGAGATTGTACTTTATTATGCATTGTTTCCCCCAGTTCTGTTTGCAGGTGACTTTCTCCCCATATAAACTAGTAGAGATTATTCTTAATCGGTCTTTACTACTAGTGTATCATTTTTGTTTTCCCACTGGAAAGGTGACTAAAAGTTATCTGAAAACTACAAATGTTTATAATATTTGTTTCTTGATCAATTCTTGTTGTTACTTTAAGAAAACTATTCCAAAATTCTGATGACCAAGTTTTAAATCAATTTAAATCTTTATTGCAAAATGTGAATTCTTGCAGAGCCCATAATGGTGCTAGCACATATGTGAATTTTGTGTGTTATTTCCAATGGGTGTACACACAGAGTTTGTATTAAGAGGAAATATGTTGTTTGTAGCATTTGGTATAGCTAAATATTTTATCTATACACTGAAACATTACAGAACCTTGTTATACTTTTACTTTTGTTCTTTATTCCTGTTTCTTCAGCTGATGAAAATTATCACTGCAATTCTTTTCTTTTCCAGAATTCTGAAAATACAAACTGCTACTTCACTATTTCCTGCAGTAGGAGAAAAGAGTTAATATGAAGCATTTCTGTTATGTATTGCTGGAGGGATATATCAAGATAGACCAAAGAGCAAAAATCTACTCTTCCTTCAGCCTGTTTGTATGAAAAAAAAATTGTTACAAACTAATTTATTCTTGATTCAGTGCAGAGAAATCTTCTGCTGCACTTACTATTGCTTGCTATTGCTTGCATTTCTGAATTTTTTTTTTGTTGATAAAATGGTGTGAACCCACAAGTGAAATTTTCCACTCCAGAATTTTGTATTCTTCATTTAAGCTGCTACAAAAGTATTTGCCTCATCAATGGCCATCTAAAAAATTAACATAAACAGGATTACACTGCCTGATAAAGTCTGCTGCTCTTGAAAGAGTACAGTTCAGCTGCTGGTATTCAGGAGCTGAAACCACACACAAATTAGTTGCACATTTCTAAGTTATCAGTAAGTGTTGCTGTGGGCACTGCTGGGGAACAGCCAAATTTCAAATGAGAAAACTGTTGAAGAATAACAAGCAAGAATTTTTAAAGACAGAATTTGTGTTTCCTCATGGACAGTTCTGAAAAACATAAAACACAGTGCGTCCCATAGTCACAGAGACTTTTATCTGCCAAAGGCTCTTGGTACCAGTTTTATGATGTTTTGGTCTACTTTGTACAGTATCTTGGCTATGAATCACAAATGTCAAAAAGCTTTGTTTCTTTTTAAAATCAGCTGTTTAAGGAGCTAGAATGAATGTCTTACTTGTCAGGTTTTTGAAGAATGTTAATCTTCAACCTTGAGTTATTGTCATTCTGTAGGGTTTTTCTTACAGTGCAAAATTGAGGGTCCTTTAATTTTAAAGAAAAGGAGGAGCCAAAACAGTAGACCTTAGGGGTTGGTGTTGTGTTCACAATCAGCAGGTGGTACTGGCTGTGAAAAGTGACCATTCTTTCTTTGAGGTTTGGGGTTTGCTATTCCCATGCTCCAGCCAGGGACAGCAGTAGCCTATCAGAAATCCAAAATGAAGCAGTTCTTTTGATTTTTCTTTTGAGTGTCCATTGAATTAATCACTGCTATAATAGGATAGTGATAGAAATGTAGCCGTGTTAGTCTGGGGTAGTTGAAGCAAAATGCAGGACAATGTAGCACTTTAAAGACTAACAAGATGGTTTATTAGATGATGAGCTTTCGTGGGCCAGACCCACTTCCTCAGATCCAGGAAGTGGGTCTGGCCCACGAAAGCTCATCATCTAATAAACCATCTTGTTAGTCTTTAAAGTGCTACATTGTCCTGCATTTTGCTATAATAGGGAAAGCTTTCAAACAGAACACATTTAACAGGTTAGTTTTGTGTGTATTCTTTCTCATTGTTGCTGTTTATTTTCCAAATATGTGCCGAAAAGAAGGGTCTTCATCCTAAAGCACATAACATGATTTATTCAGTGAACTCCTTTGCACAATATTTTGGACAGTGAAAACACATTATTACATCATCACCCAGTAAAGTGGAGAACAGCCCAAAATGTCATGCTAATACATTATACATCAACAACCAAGTTCAAATAATTATCCTACAAGATACAAGGACCAGCTGCTAAAATGTCTGGTGTCTTATTCAGAAATAATGCTAATTTTTTAGCACATTAATATAGTCTCATTTAAGTTTCCAGTAGCATAACGTTGACCCCTTCCATTTATTTTTGGACACAAACAAAAGACCTGAACCTCCAAAAGTGACACTACTGAGTTCCAGCTGTTCTATATCACCCGAGAACACACTGGACTAGGTCACCCTGCTGCCATGGAGGTCTGCCTGATCAGAACTCTAAGCCAGTTTTTATTCGGTTGATTTCCTCAATATTTCAATATTTTGATCATTATTAGGCAATGTATAATAATAATAAAAAAATTAAGCCAGTTTTATGTTCAGGAAATTCAAGCTGGTAGGGCTTGGTCTCCAAAAAAAAAAAAAAAAAAAAAGGCCCATAATGCCCAGCTGATGATGTGGTTAGAGTGGGAGGGTTGTTTTCTGAAGAGTTTTGCAATTTGGGGGGTTCTTGGGCACATTCAGGCACATGATTATGGCTTTCTCCTAATATGCTCATTTTTCTACAGTGTGTCACCTGTATATAGTAGACAGGCTACATATGTGTAGTCACAAAAAGCAGAGCATTCTCGAAACCATAGCGCTTTCACATGACACAGAAGTTTGGGCCTTACATGATCTTAATCCTCATACTTAACATGTGACAGTGAATCATAGCAGAATTGGATATTTATTTAAACAAGTATCTAGCAGATGGCGGAGTAGAACCTCACGCTGTGTGATTTTAGACCAGCACAGTAACTGACTCTTCTTTCTTTGGACCTTTTTCTGGCAACAATCCAGAATAAAACAAAAGATTCTGAAAATACACAGAATATTGGGCTTTCAAGCTTTTGAAAGTGCTCCTTCTCAGGAAATGCTGGTTCCTTTAGTAAAAGAGCCACAAAACAATGGGGTCCAGAGAGAAAATATGTCATTAGCCTTTTCAGTGAAAACAGTGAAGTAATGACCAGAAATTGTATATTTCCCAAGTGAGATCCTCCAATGATGTTCCACCCAGCTTACACATGTTGCTATATTTGTTATAGTTTCGAACAATGTCTCTTTGGTCCTGTTTAAACTGCCACTCCCACCATGTTTTGCAGCACCGTGCTATCACATGGTTCCCAAACCAGTTTTTTTTAAACAGAGTTGAGTTTTGCTGGGATTGAACCTGGTTTTAAATATGTTCCCTAACTGCTCCAGTGCCTTGGACTTTAGTAAGACAGCAGCACATGTCGGGGGCGGGGGGAGCACAGCTGAATTAATTTTCTTCCTTAGTGCAAGAATGAAACTCATTTTAACTATGAGGACTGCTGTGTTGAAACTTTGACGTCTAGCATGAAGTTACAGTATAGGTGAGACTCTGGTTCCAAAGAATTTGACATTTTGTGTTAACAAGTTCACCTCACCAATTTAGCTTATGCCAGGCTAGACTCTGGGCACTCTGTGATTATGTCTGTACTAGCTACAATGACGTATAAACAAGGTGGCTATTTGCAAGATTTGAGCTAGTTTTCCAGACAATTGCAGGAAGAGGGTTTTGGTCTGAGAGGATTCATTAAACTGTGCCATAGGCTCAGTCTATGCCACATGTATACCTATATTATAGCCTAATCCCACAATTCATTTGTGTTAGTAGTGTTGAAAGGTCAAACGCTACCTGGGCAAAAAGTACAAATCTGTACTTGCAGGTTTCCTAGAATGATTGTCAGAAAAAAATTCTGCTCTACTCTGCTTAAAAAAACAGCTAGCAACAGCCGTGTTCTATACATGCCTCTACCACAGCAAACTCAGTTCTGACCTTGATGCAGTAAGGATTCTAAGCACTCCTGGTTTTCAAGCATCCACTACTGTTGACAAGTGATGAGAAATATGTGTCTTTCAGAGTGATAGGATTTAACAAAGGACTCCAAATTTCTACTTTATATACACAGAGGTGTAGTATATTGTCCCCATAGCAGATGTTCCAGGTACATATTTTTAATTTTTAGACCATGCTGTCTCTCCTCCCTCAGCAATACCCCTGGTCCTTAGTTATCTTACTGCATCACAAGACCTAGTGAAGATAGTCAGGCGTTAATGAGGCACATGTGATTTCTAGACAGTCATCTGGGCAGAGGATTTTTTTTGCTGCACTATGTTGATATATTCATCCCTACACAGTTTTTGAGACATTTAAAACAGCTTTATTTACCAGGTT